TGTGGAAGCACCCTGGTATAATGTAGATTCTAAATTGTTCAAATAATGACCCCAGGGGATGGTTGGGGCAATAATGGGGAACCAAAGTTATACATAGAAATATATAGGAAAAATCTTTGAAAATTTTCTCAAGAACCACAAGCCAGAAAAGGTGAAAATTATGTGGAAGCATCCTGTATAGTGTAGATTCCAAATTATTCAATCATGACCCCCAGGGGAAGGGGGGGGGGGGTACAATGGGGTATCAAAGTTTTATATTAAAATATAAAGAAAAAATCTTTGAAAACCTTCTTGTCAAGAACCACGGGGCCAGAAAAGCTGAAACTTATGTGGAAGCATCCTGGTATAATGTAGATTTTAAATTGTTCAAATAATGACACGGGGGAAGGGCGGGGCCACAATGGGGAAAATCTGAAAATCTTCTTCTCAAGAACCACTGGGCCAGAAAAGCTGAAACTTATGTGGAAGCATTCTGGGGTAGTGTAAATTCTAAATTATAGGAATCATGACCCTTGGGGGAAGGGCTGGGCCATTATAGGGAATCAAAGTTTTACATAGAAATATATAGGAAAAATCTTTGAAAATCTTCTTCTCAGGAACCACTGGGCCAAAAAAGCTGAAACATATGTGCCAATGGAATGATCATGGGGTAGTGTAGATTTCAAAATGTCTAAATTATGATCAGTGGGGTAATGTGGGGATGCATTATGTATAACAAGGGCTGAAATCTGGTAAAGAACAGAATGGTCAAAGCTTCTCAGGTGAGCAATGTGGCCCATGGGCCTCTTGTTTTTAGACGTTTTTAAAGAGTAGATATAGATTTCAATGATGACGTTTTATACTTTGTTTTTCCAACCTGTCAACTTAGTTAACTTGTTACAATTTCAGTAGTTAAAATCTTCCGAATTTGCTGTTCCAAATCCAGTATTTTAAATACCAATTTTCCTTTCATTTAAACTTTTTTTATGCCCCGCCATGAATATGGCCGGGGCATATAGTGTTTGTCATGTCCGTCTTCCGTCCTTCCGTCCTTCTGTCCTTCCGTCCTTTCGTCCCTCCGTCACACTTTGTGTTTAGCTCTGTTCAAAGCTAAGTTTCAAAGAAACTATCCAAGATATTTTCATCAAACTTCATATGCTGATAGATATTGATGAGAGCTATGGTTCATCTAGGGATGAACACTACCAGACTTGCTTCGGATGCTGGATTTGACCGACATTTTCAAGACGAGTGACCAGGTAAAAGATTTTGGAACAGGTCCATTCCTAAGGAACTAAAAGCTCCTACTTGGACCAAACTTGCATGGATGATGCATCTAGGGATGGACACTACCAGACTTGCTTCGGATGCTGGATCTGACCTACATTTTCGAGATGAGTGACCAGGTTAAAGTTTTTATAGCATGTCTATTCCTAAGAAATTATAAGCCATAATTGGACCAAACTTGCATGGATGATGCATCTAGGGATGGACACTACCAGACTTGCTTCGGATGCTGGGTTTGACCTACATTTTCCAGAAGAGTGACCAGGTTAAAGTTTTTAAAGCATGTCCATTCCTAAGAAACTATAAGTCCTACCTGAACCAAACTCGCATGGATGATGCATCTAGGGATGGACACTACCAGACTTGCTTCGGATGCTGGATCTGACCTATATTTTCATTCCCAAGTAACTTAAAGCCCTGCCTGAACCAAACTTTCATGGATGATGCATCTAGGGATAGACACTACCAGACTTGCTTGGAATGCAGGATCTGACCTATATTTTCATTTCCAAGTAACTGTAAGCCCTACCTGAACCAAATTTGCATGGATGATGCATCTAGGGATGGACACTACCAGACTTGCTTCAGATGCTGGATCTGACTTATATTTTTATTCCCAAGTAACTATAAGCCCTACCTGAACCAAACTTACATGAATGATGCATCTAGGGATGGACACTTCCAGACTTGCTTCGGATGCTGGATCTGTCCTATATTTTCATTCCCAAATAACTATAAGTCCTACCTAAACCAAACTTGCATGGATGATGCATCTTTGGATGGACAATATACCAGACTTGCTTCGGATGCTGAATCTGACCTATATTTTCATTTCACAGTAACTATAAGCCCTACCTGAACCAAACTTATATGGATGATGAAACTTTGGATGGACACTACCAGACTTGCTCTGGATGCTGGATCTGACCTATATTTTCATTCCCAACTAACTATAAGTCCTACCTGAACCAAGCTTACATGGATGATGCATCTAGGGATGGACACCACCAAACTTGCTTCGGATGCTGGATCTGACCTATATTTTTATTCCCAACTAACTATAAGTCCTACCTAAACCAAACTTGCATGGATGATGCATCTAGGGATGGACACCACCAAACTTGCTTTGGATGCTGGATCTGACCTATATTTTCATTCCCAAGTATCTATAAGCCCTACCTGAACCAAACTAGCATGGATGATGCATCTAGGGATGGACACCACCAAACTTGCTTTGGATGCTGGATCTGACCTATATTTTCATTCCCAAGTAACTATAAGTCTTACCTGAACCAAACTTGCATGGATGATGCATCTAAGGATGGACAATACCTGACTTGCTTTGGATGCTGGATCTGACCTATATTTTCATTCCCAAGTATCTATAAGCCCTACCTGAACCAAACTTGCATGGATGATGCATCTAGGGATGGACACTACCAGACTTGCTTCGAATGCTGGATCTGACCTATATTTTCCAAACAAGCAATTCAGCTGCATAACTATTCTGGATATTCTGATCAAATTTTAAACACATACTAACTTTCATGTTGCTTTACTGATATATCCTTGGCGGGGCATTCATGTCCTATGGACATATTTCTAGTTTCAAATGATTTTAAATATTTTTCCTAACACTCCAAATATGTTTTTAAAAAACTTTATTAAAAATTTTATTTGTAACTTTACATACTTCTTGTTTTTTATTCTCAGAAGACTTTAAAAAGTGAAAAAGCCATATTTGTAGATGATTTGTTGTGAGAAATATTAAGAAACTCTTTCAGACATCAGAACATCACATGAAACATTCCATGTTTAGAAATTGACAATATTCAATGTACTTTACACACAAACAGTAAATTCGCTAATTTGCACCTAATCCCTCATCTGCCCTTTTCAAAACAACACAAGCACCTGTGCAAAAGACATAGAGAAATGAGATTTTGTGTTACTTGTATGTACATTTAGGTAACTTCAAGTATTATTGTGAATTTCCTGGCCTCCGGACCAGGGGTTAATGGAAGGGATATGTAGATTATTTAGTGAAATACACATATTCTTTGAAATTCTTTTTTTTGCTCATGGGACAGGGCATCAAATAAACTATGGCCTCTTGTTAAAAAATCTTCTTCTCCAGAACCGCTGGGCCAGGCAAGATGAAACTCATGTGGAATCATCCTCAGGTAGTTTGGATTCAAGTTTGTTCAAATCATGACCTCCGGGGCAAGGGTGGGACCAAAATGGCCAACCCAAGTTTTACATGGGAATATATAGGAAAATTCTTTAAAAATCTTCTTCTCCAGAACCACTGGGCCAGGAAAGATGAAACTCATGTGGAATCATCCTTAGGTAGCCTAGATTCAAGTTTGTTCAAATCATGACCCCCGGGGGTAGGTTGGGGCCAAAATGGCCGATCAAATTTTTACACAGGAATATATATATAAAAATTTTTTAAAAATCTTCTTCTCCATAACTTCTGGGGCCAAAATGGCCGACCCCAGTTTTACTTAGGGATATATAGGGAAACCTTTTAATATCTTCTTTACAAGTTCTTCAAAGCTATGATTAGTGATATTTATATGGAATCATCCTCAGGTAGTGTAGATTCTAGTTTGTTCAAATGATGAACACCTGGAGGGGGTGGGGTTAATTCAAGCCTGATGTGCTCAGGTGAGCGCTGTGGCCCCTGGTCCTCTTGATTAAATTTGTGACATAAAAACTTTGAATGTCTAGTTTTAGCAATATTCGAATGAGCTGAATCATGACCTTGAAAATTAAACCAATGTCATTGAATAAATAAAAATTATAATAATTCAATTATAATCTTGAACAACTCTTTTAATTAATTCATGTACAGGATAGAGAGAGAGAGAGAGAGAGAGAGAGAGAGAGAGAGAGAGAGAGAGAGAGAGAGATGACCTTCATGTCTGACTTGTTCTAAATTTCATGAAATAATTTGGATCAGCTAAACTAGTGATGTTCAAAATTTATGTTTGAATTTAAAGAAATTAATAGAATGATTAAAGTAATATACTCTATAACTTGCGCCATTTTAAAATACGGCTGGAAATTTATATATTTTGATTACCATAAAAGTTACGAAAATGCTGTAAATTACACCATTTAAATAAAACTCATTTTAAAGTTATCAAATTATAATTATTTATTATCCTGCAAGGAAAATAATGTCTATTTTTAAGTAAATCCACCACGTGACGCTGTCGCTACTTTTTGATTGATAAACAAGCACAGCGTCAGGAAAGTTAGGTTAGCCCTTTGAGATAAAACTCACTTTTGACATGGATGGCGTGTTACTATTAAATATAACTTATCTTTAAATGTAATCAGTATCAACCATCTATACTCTGTGTTACAACAGATGAAAATTATTCATGACGCATATTAACCTTTTATTAATAATCGTTGTCAAAATGCAACATGCCTCGTTGTCTATAATTTCCCGTGGACATACGTGTCTATATTTAGACCTACTGTTTACGCACTTCCTTTTTCAATATTCATGAAAAGACTGAATTCTTGTTTGCAAATATTGCTTTATTGTTCTGTTATTACAAAGAGTTTTATAGTTAAATTTTGTGGAAATATTATTTTTCCATTACACTTTGTGTGTTTCAAATCATTTGATCATTTTGTTTTACATACAAATCGGCATTCATACGGCATATATTACTTTAAAAAGAAAAAAATTCAAATATGTAATTTTTGTTTTGCAGTAAATTCATCAAGCCAAAAACAACGCTTTAAAGTTAAAATTGATGAATCAAGCGAACAACAGAGTAATTCAGAACAGCCTGCAGTTTTATTTGGTGACAAGAAAAAGTTGAATGTTGAAGAGAAAGGATTTCAAACGGAGATAGGCAGTAGAACAAGTGATAAAGAATTGTCCAGTGATGAAGAAATGAAACATGAGAGCTTGAATTCGGCTGAGTCGCGTAAAGGAAATGAAGCTGCTGCCTTCCTGAAAAAGGAAGTAGTTGAAGACGGCAGACAAAATGTTCCTGAGAAATCAGAATTATCAGGAATTTTACGAGTTTCCAAAGATGTATCGGGTGATCCAGAGAAAAAAATAACCATGACTGACTTTGCAGGGCAGTGTTCATATTAAGCCTCACACCAGATATTTCTTAGTCCTCGTGCTTTCTTCATTCTGGTGCTGAATATGGAGAAGAAGTTTGATGATAAGGTTGGAAAAGAAGTCTGTAGCCAGGAAGGTTCCATTTACGAAGGATGGACACATAAAGGTATGTTTTTATTACATGATTAGTGTTTATTATATGCATTTGTCTTGCTTCTATTGAAGCACATGTATATTAATCATGCATTACTTTCTGCTGTAATTTTATAATTGATAAGCAGTCTCATTTGAAGTCATAATTTCGTTAGTTCTATGGCAGATACAATAATCTTGTTTATAGCTAAAATAATTTATAATTGAGTCCAAAAACTGATTAGTTTTTCACTAATTGTTAGTCCATATTTATACACTGAATTGGCAAGGGATATTCCCTAATTTCCCGATCATGACAAGGAGCACACAGCGGGTATGACTGATGGGCATGGAATGTTCAGTCCTCCATGACACCTGATCCCAGTTCTGATGTTTTGGAGGTCCATGTTTGCTTTGCTCCTTTTTCGTATTCTTTCTTTTGATCTTGAATACTCATACTTATCTCCATATCAAAGGTTAAAAGAGCTAATGCTATGGCCATTCATGTGTTGTGCGTTAACTTTTTAATTAGTCATATTGGAGTTGTTTTAGATGATTAACAGTTGCTTCGAATATCGTACAAACGTTTTGACTTTTGCATATATATATACATAAAACACTTTCTGATGAGGGGTTAAATAATAATTGCACACTTTCTCCTGCTGTCTAAAACCAAGGACCTAATATATACTACCTGCTAAAGCTATGTACACGTATGCATATCACGTGAAAAAAACTCAAATTTTTATCGACACGATAGGACTTAGGCCAAAATAAAAAATACCTTTGTTTCCCCTAACGCAACCGACCCAACTAAAACTTGCCGACTGGAAAGATTTTTTAAATAACATGATTCAAAAATTATTTTTATTGTCAACCAAGTTTTATAAAATAAATTTCATCAAAATCAGCTTTTAATTTTTTTATCAGAACAGCCGACATTGTTCTACTGTAATTTTCAAGCATTTGATGGCAACAAAATAGCGTCGAGATGTGCATTTTATTTAATTTGAGTTTTGATCTAATAAACAATTCATCTACGTTTCTTGTTAACAATATGTCATTATGTAATCATAGGGGTTGTGATATCTATGTGTGCATATTCATCCTGAGAAATATAATTCAGTTGTACTTTTTCATGCCTTCATTTACGGGTTAAACTTCTTGACTACACATGTATGACATCATTTTATATAGCATTTTAATCATTTGTAGATTCGGTTTGGTTAATTTAAATATTGTTTAAATACTCTTTTCAAATAGTTTTGAAATATAATTCAGCTTCTCGAGACGTCCAGTGTCATTTTCTTTAATTAGACCCTTAAAGATTGGTTGTTTCTTTGCTTTTAATCCCTTTGAGATTTGTTGGGACGACATTTGAACATTTCCCCATTGCTCAAAAATTTAGACGTAATACAGTGTAAGCCCTTTTTTGCCATTAAGCAGTGGGATCTTTTTGAGACAGCATCTTCTGTGACACTGGACAAGTTTTTATGGTCCCTTTTGAAGGACCGTTCTCACCGTTCCTCATTGGTATTTAAACCTGTGATTTAAAGTATAGCTACTTACAGTACCCGCATCGTTATTCTTTACAAATCTATCGTGTTCTATCGTGCGTGTATCCTATCGTATCGTGCGTGTATCCTATCGTATCCTATCGTATCGTGTTTTCCGTTTATCAGGTTTTGCGTTTTCTATCGTGTTTTCCGTTTATCGTGTTTTGCGTTTATCGTGTAGATCGTTTATCAGGTTCTCTCGTGTATCGTGTTTTGCGTTTATCGTGTATATTCGGAAACCCTCGCTTTTTATCCTTACTATGTAAAGAAACTACTGAGCTATTCCGAGTTCCTTTTTCGTTTTGTTAATAAAAATAAGATTAATTCAACCGAAAAAGAGAAAATAAAGTTTAATCCCTTTCTTTATCGATATAAGAAATATTAAAGCGTAAAAGGAAAAAAATAATTAATCGTGTATTTCATGAATGAATAAATTGATTTATTAATAAATAATTAATCAAATAAATAATCAATTATATCATGGTAAAGCAGAGAGTAACTGTCAAAATTTAAACAGTAACTTTTTGGAAATGAAATTATAAGAAGATCGATCAACTGGTATATTTCTTTAAAAAATAATTTCTCAAATGAATCGGAGTTACTGGAAAAAGATTTTTGGTAAGCTACGATGTTCGCGTAGACAAAAAGCAAATAAATAAATAATAAGCAGCATATTGAAATCATGTATCTTTTTTTCATGCAATATTCTGTTTTTCCTTGTTTATCGTCTGATTACGTTAGAAATATGTTTACGCGTCTGACCTGCATGGATGCACAATTATTTAAAGTATTGATGTTACAAATATAATATAACATAAGACAATGATCCAGATGATTTAAACAACGATTTTGGCCGTATACGTTCAAATTTTAAACTTATTTTTGTAAAGCTAATTATAAATTCCTCAACATATGTCTAAATTAATAAAAGAAATCAAAATTATAAAATATAATCAATGAAAATATTCTACCTAATTTATCACTCCATGGCTGTTACTTTAAAATAGATTTTCATTAATTTTATCTGGCATTAGATAGCATAAAAATATATACATGTACAGGGGAAAACATGAAGTATTTTAACAGCTTACCTTTTCGGCATGGAAATAAACTCAAAATATAATCCATCGGGATGCCAAAAATCAAAATAAATCGAAGACCTTTCCTTACAAGAAAACTGACACGTATGTGTAGCTCTCTAATTAGCACACTGTCTTCCTTTGCGGTCAACCGCCCCCCCCCCTTCTTCCCTAACTAACACCTCGGCCCGTGTGTGTGTGATCACTGTCAACATACCTGTACTGATTTCTCACCGGGGGACAATTAGTAACCTCAAATACTACCTGGTTCTAATAAAACGCATCTACTTATTTTCGGGATTTTGTTCCCAACTTGTTTGAACAATTTTATCAAAGATTTAATTCAAAATACATTAAATAATTGTCCGATTTATGGATTAAAAAATCATCTTGATTGTTGAATGAAAATTCAAATAAATCAATTTAATGAAATGAAGTCCTTAAACTCACTCCGTTGATTCTTTTTTATTTCGTACAATGTTTCCATTATCTTTACGTAAATAAGTCTTTTAATAAACATAAAAAATACACTGCACTTATGGTACGTGCAATATCGGGTCATCGGGTTTTCTACGTAAAACGGACAAAATTAATTCTAGGAAAAAATTTCATCGATCGTAGAAACGGATGAAATAGTTCTAACATTCTAAACTATGAAAATTAGCTCGCAATATTTTTTTTAACGGTATCTAACTATAGAAATAAAACAAAAGGAGTCGTCTGATCCGCCGTAACCATGCAAAACTAATAAATACACCGAATCAATGCAATTTATTGTATTACATGTAATCGATTTTATTCCATACGTATGTAACTTTATTTAAGAATTCAATATTATATTTGGCTAATTGGTTAGATCTTGTTTATCTAATTTTAAATTGGTTGCAGAATTTAAAAATACCGCCCTTCGAATGTGCCTAATATGAGATTACCGGGTCAGTGTAAAATGATTTTTAAGGTTTAATAATTCATTTTCCGAATTAAACCTATTTTTTGTTATTATTAGAAACAGTACACACAGAGTTTAATAGCAGTGATTTATAATTATTTAGTCGAAAAAGTCGCATTTCACTCTTTTAATATTTGTTTATTAATTTTTCTGTTTTGTATTGTAAAGAAGAAAGTATTTAACCATTCAATGTTCGTTAATAAATACGAGGTTTTAAGTATCTCTAATGTTAAATGATTACATGTACATAATTCAGAGCTTAGCGCAAACGTACATGTGCAGTTGTAGCAGATTCATATTCTCATGACACAGTTTACATGTACATGTATACATGCAGATAGCCATTATTTTAATGATTATTTAGATTTCTATTCAAAAAAATTAATTTCTTGAATTGTTTCGTTCTTGATAGATCTATCATGTTAAATTTATTAATTTTGTTAAAGCCATTTTCTTTAAACCTTTCTTTAGGCCAGTCTTCTACTTGTATTATTTTCTAAGATATTAATATTTAATTGCGATTTTTGAATACATCGCAGATTGTAAGCTTTAGACATTAAATACAAATATTTAATTTATTGCGTAAATTTCTTCCGTGAAATAACTTGGTTCCTGTAGATAAATTAATTAAATAGAAAATCAAAATGTATATTATTCATAAAAAAATAAATCTATTGATAGAGTTTCAAAATTCACACACTTGAGAAGAAATTAAAAAAAAATACATGTCTCCATTTCATAAAAATCCATTTAATCACTGTCATTTTTTAAATATATATATATAGATAAACAACTTTGTAAAATTAAATCTCAGGTTCTTTTTATAATAATTAAATGTACTTTATAGTTTAGATTTGAAGCTCTGCGAGTATTTAAATTAAAATATAATCTAATTTAAATAATCTTTAATCTTTAAATTTAATTCAAAATAATCTTTTCGTCTTGTCAAAAAACGTTCCGCATTTTAAAACAATCCTATCAGGTTTTGCGTTTATCCTATCGTGTAGATCGTTTATCAGGTCTATCGTGTTTTGCGTTTATCGTGTTTTGCGTGTATCGTGTTTTGCGTTTATCGTGTTTTGCGTTTATCCTATCGTGCGTATATCCTGTCCTATCGTGCGTGTATCCTATCGTATCGTGCGTGTATCCTATCGTATCGTGCGTGTATCCTATCGTATCGTGTATCCTGTAAAGAATAACGATGCGGGTACTGTACGTCGTAACACCAAAATGCTCTAGAACCACTGTAAATCTCATGGCCCTCAAAAAAGTACACTGACTGTCTATAAGCACTGGAGGATGATTGAAGGTTTGTAAAAATATACTCGGATGTCCAGTCTTTGAGAATTCGGATGTCCAGTCTTTGAGAATTTGAGAATCTTGTCTTTTGTTATTTGATTTATATAAACGTACTCTGGCGTGAGATATTTCACAAGTTCATCTAAATTACAGTTGTAAATTAATCATAAATTTTGATTTAAACGGCATATGTATGACACTTAGCATTTTGTTTACAGATCACTCTTTCGTACTTTTCCTATTTATAAATGTAATTTTCCATTAAATTTTAGAATGCATTTTCAAAGCTGCTGTCACAAAATAAAATTGTTTACCTACCTACCGACCCAACTTGAAAATTTAGGGTCGGGTTAGGGGAAACAAAGATATTTTTAATTCTGGCCTTATAAAACGTCTCTTTGAACAATGGTATACTAGGCCAATGTATTATGTTCCCCAAAGGGAGTTTGGGAACACATTGTTTTTACTCTGTTTCTGTGAGTGTTCTCAGAAACTGTATATCTAACTGAGCTTAAATCTTTTTAGGGTTAATAGGTGTGTAGTGTAGGTGTGCGGAACAAAGATCATTTTGCGCGCATAGGCATGCACGTGCAGGCAAATGCATCACTTGGATATCTTGTATACTTAATATAGCTATAATTTTTAACTAATCTCTCGGCACTTTTCATTAAATAGATCTTGACCTTAAAAAATGTGTATGAAAATATTAACATTTTATGGAATTTCTGTGAGATAGTTTACAAGGCCGTAAATAGGCTCAAATTTCTAGTGAGGCAAGGGTGCTCGGCATTCGTAGTCCCAGACAGGGCAAGGGTACTGTAAACCAAGTATTATACGCGTGCGATAAATATCCGCGAGTTCCACGAGTTACCTCTGCTCACGGATATTTATCGTCGCGAACCAGTTGCTCATTATATTCCTATATTATGTTTTATTTAGAGTTATTTGACGTTTTTTTCAATACCGATCCTGACGGTTCAATAATAAATCACGGAAGAACTCTACTGTTATTGTACAAGAAGCAGTTGAAATTTAATTTCAAACATTCAGAAAAAATAAAAACAAATGGCAAATCTAAAAATGATTAAAATATCAATAATCATTTCAGCTTGTGTTATTATTGTTCATTTATTGTTACAAACAAGTCGAGATCTGAGGTAGCCTGGTTAATTAAGGTTAATTATGGCCCAGTCCTGCTCTGTCCCAACCATTTATAATTGCCCCTGGGCTATGCAGATTTTGGAAAGCGTCGATAACCCAATTAGTAGGACGCACTTTAACAATTGAGAGTTTTAAATCAATTTAAATCTCCTAGATTTTTTCCCGATTTTCGTCTGAGCGTTGTGAAAATGTGTATATGGAGTATACTCATGGTAAACATTTTACCCACTTTAGGGGCGGATATAAGATTTTAAATGGACGCAATGCACAGAATGTCTTGAAAAATGCATAAGCAGACATCACGCTACCATATTACCTAGTTTATGGCCAGATACAAAATTTTAATTTGATTCAAAAATACTCGTGGAAATAAAAAAAAATGTGACCACTCGTTCGCGGATATTAATCGTCGTGGATAAGTTCTTTAGCGGTCAGTCGCGAATAAAAAATGACGCGTATAATAATTGTTTACAGTAGTACCTGATGGCCAGTACAAAATGACGCGTATAATAATTGGTTTACAGTAGTACCTGATGGCCAGTGATGGTGGGTTCCAGGGAGAGGGGGGTCCTGAAACCTGGTGTTAGAAAATAAAAAAAAAAAGATCTCAGAAAGTTTTTTCTACGTTTTGAATTCTGCATGGAGTGGTTTAAGAGAATATGCTCTAGAGTCGCAGACTAAGGAATTGATCCTAGAATCGCGGGTTCGAACCCCACAGCGGGATGTAGAGACCGGTCCTTCGGATGAGACTGTAAAAACCGAGATCCTATGTCTTAGTAAGTGATGGCACAAACAAAATCTCTCACTATTCAAACATCTTCAGTAAATCAAGTAAAACTTGCAGCCCTCTACCGGCAAGTACTTGTAGTGGTGTCTCAATAGGAGGAATTCTTAGAAGGGATCTTTAACAATCAAACAATAATTATAAAACAAACATTTTGAATTATATTTTACATGCGTTCTAAATGAAAATGAGGTATCTGGTGAGATGAACAAAAATTTTAAAATATAGGTACGAAAACACACAGCTCATTACTTCAATATAAAACTTATTTCACTTTTAAGAAAACTCTAAAAATTTAGTGAGGCATTTGCCTCACTTGCCTCTATGGTAGTTGAGGCCTTGGTTTAGATCCAAATTTATTCAAAAAATGACCCTTGGGGAAGGGCTGGGCCACATTGTATGATCAAAGTATTGCATAAGAATATATGGGAAACATTTAGATTGGGTGGGGCCACAAGGGATGATCAAAGTTTTACATACATGTAGGAATTAATAAGAACAATCTTATTATAATTTAAACCGCTTATAAGTGAACTTTCAGTTTTCTTTAAATGATTAAGTCAAGGGTGTAGGGTTGGACTAAATTGGACGAGCAGAATCGTTGTGTAACTGTTGATTTTTATTTTTTTTTCAGATTATCTCACATTCTGGACAAAGTCTATTCATCAATACAGCAGTGAGAAGGCACCTGTTTTACTGGTGGGCACTCATGCTGAACAAAAGACAAAGGAGGTATCTGAGAGAAGTGTGAAAGCTTGTTTAGCTCTTATATGCCGAAGGAGCAAATAAGTTTTTTAGCATTGGCTCAGGTGAGCTTTTCTGATCGCAATTTGTCCGGCGTCCGTCTGTCTAGCTGTCTGTCTGTCCGTCTATCTCTAAACTTTTCACATTTTCAACTTCTCAAGAACTGCTGAGCCAATTTCAACCAAACTTGCCAAAAAATGTCCTTGGGTAAAGGGGATTCAAGTTTGTTCAAATAAAGGGCCACGCACTCTTCCAATGGGAGATAATTATGAATTAGAGAAAAAAAAAAGCATTTCAAAAAAAATCTTTTTCTCAAGAACCACTGGGCCAGGAAAGATTATATCATGTGGAATCATCCTCAGAAATTGCAGATTGAAGTTTATTTAAAAAATCAGGACCCCCGGGGCAAGGGTGGGGCCAAAATGGCCGACCCAAGTTTTACATGGGAATATATAGGAAAAATCTTCTTCTGAAGAACCACTGGGCCAGGAAAGATGAAACTCATGTGGAATCATCCTCAGAAACTGCAGATTGAAGTTTATTTAAAAAATCATGACCCCCGGGGTTAGGGTGGGGCCAAAGTGGCCAACTAAAGTTTAACATAGGAATATATACTAGGAAAAATCTTTAAGAATCCTCTTCTCAAGAACCACTTGGCTAGGAAAGATGAAACTCTTGTGAAATCATCCTCAGGTTGTGTAGATTCGAGTTTGTTCAAACTCATGACATAAGGGTTAGGGTGAGGCCAAAGTCGCCGACCAAAGTTTTACATAGGAATATAAAGGAAAAATCTTTAACAATCTGCTTCTGAAGAACCACTGGACCAGGAAAGATGAAACTTATGTGGAATCATCCTCAGGTAGTGTAAATTCAAGTTTGTTCAAATCATGACCCCCTGGGGCTAGGGTGGGGCCAAAATAGCCTACCAAAATTTTACATAGGGATATATAGGGAAACCTTTTAAAATCTTATATTCAAGTACTTCAAAGCCATGGTTAGTGATATTTATATTGAATTATACTCAGAAAGTGTATATTCTAATTTCTTCAAATCATGACCCCTGGAGGGTTAAAATTAAAGCACCCCCCCCCCTTCAGTAAACTTTTCGTTCTGATCTGATATGTGCTTTTTTCTAGCTGATGTGCTCAGGTGAGCGCTATGGCCCCTGGGCCTCTTGTTGGATACATGAACCAACAACCTTGATCTTTTGACCTTGGAGATTTCCATACTTGTGAAAAAAGTTTAACCTTGGCCATAACTTTCGTAACTTTAATCCTTGTGGTAAAGCCTTTTATTTGATAGCAAGAGTTTTTAACCTTTTACCTTGACCTTGGAGTTTGACCTACTTTGAAAAGAATTAAACTTTGCCATAACTTCTGAACAGTTAGGGCTAAGGTTTCCATACTTTACATATATATTCTATGTGGCAAGACCTTTTTCTGAACACCAATTACCTTGACCTTTTGACCTTGACCTAGGAGAATTTGTGCTTATGAAAAAAAATTATCTTTACCCATAACTTTTGAATGCTAAGGGCTAGTGGTCTCATAGTTCTTTTTTGTAATCCTCTGAGAAGACCCGTCATTGGATACCAAGAAATTTTACCCTTTGACCTTGGAGTTTGACCTACTTGTTAAAAGAAAACCTTGACCATTCCTTTTAAAGGGTAAGGGCTAGTGCTTTCATACTTTTCATATTTATTCCTTGTGACAATACCTTTCATTTTATAGCAAGAGCTTTGACCTTGACCTTGGAGTTTGGCCTACTTTGTAAAATTTTAGCCTTGTCCATAACTTCTGAACCTCTTTAAAGGGTTCACCACAGCTCATGTTATTTCTGTTGTATTGTATATATGTGTCAACTATCAATAACATTTCCTGACTTGATTCGACTGAACAGTAAGGGCTAGAGCTTCCATACTTCACATATGTATGTATGTATGTATGTATGTATGTACAATTTCATGGATACCAATAACCTTGTCCTTGAAAATTTCTGTTCTTATGAAATAAAAAAAATCAAAATTATGGCCTATTTTCATCTTTCACAAGTGTATTCCCAGTGAGAATACCCTACTTTTGGTACCAACATATTAGATTTGTATTAAAAAAAAATTAATCTTTGCTGTGTTGCCATTCGGGGGCTTCAACGTTTCACAAACACATCTTGTTTTATTAATACTGAACTCCATTGTGTTGTTTTTCCTAGCTTCTTTGCACATGTGATGAATAGGCATTCATGTCTTTAAACAAATAATATGTTTAAAGGTGCGACCGTTGGGGCGAGCGCAGTTATGCACTATCTTTAACCTACTCATATACAGCATCATTTAAGAAAAAATGTTCTAAAACAAAACAATAATCAAAGTACTGAGACAGTACTGAAAGATATGGGGTCAAAATGATTTTCATGCTAGATCTCACAAATGTGATTTATTTAACGAGTTTTTATTTTTTTTTTAATTAACATACACTTAATACTTAATTCAAAACTGTGAATGATATAAATTCGTGTTTTTCATTTAATTTGAAGTAGAAATTTCTAGAATTACTATTTCTAGAAACTTTTTTTAACTGTCCGAATTTCACCCGGTCTGAATTAATATTTTTTCCGGAAGTAAACAAGGGATGATGCGTGTGCAGTGGTAATACTGCGCAGGAGAATACTTTGTTTACTATTGTGTTTAACAATTAATATTTGAGTTTACATTTACAAAAGGCTTCATTTATTTGATTTAGAAAAAGTTCATATCATTTTCTTCAGTTTGATACAGAACGTTTATATTTTGATCAAAACAATTTCTGCACTCTTTCATATCGCGTAGATTTAATTCATGTGTTATCACCACGGCTTCTGTTTTGAGGGCTCTGACAGTAAACTAATAGACGGGGTTACGTGATCCCGTCTAAAAAGAAATCCTTCCCAAGTATCGCAATTGAGATTCCGAATTTCTCGGAAGTTTCCGACAAAAATCCAAAATACCCAAACGTTGAAGTGACGAAAGTATGATGTCAGATAAAATGTTGACTTACATATAGGACGCAAACGATTACTAAGCTTTGTGGCCTGGAGATTGCATTGATTTGTTGTTTTTAATTTTTTTTCATTCAAGTAATTTGTTATGTTTAAGCAGTCATGTTGCTATGCACTGCAAAGGCCCTTATTATTGGGAGTTTGGAATTTTTTCACGTGGACTTTTTGAAACAATGTGTAGATTTCAATATGAATTTTCTCCATTCATACACGTAAGGCTATTGAGCTCGCTACACGAACGGCACTTCCAACCACATCGCTGCGCTCGCTTTAAAGATAAACATTAAAAAAACCCTTTCAAGAAAAGCAATGATATTAATAATCATATTAAAATTGAAGCATTACTTAGCTTGCTTAGGTAGCTTGAGAATGATTCAGACATGTTTAAATCTTAATCCCAATGCGCATTAATGTGTTTAAGCTCAGTAGGAATAAAATTTACCTGTCAACATTATATTTAGAAATGCATATATCAGGACAAATTGAATTCTTCTTAAAAATATAATATAATTATTAATCATCAACATACTGATCACCCACAATCCACCCACACATGGACCTATTTTTAGCTAGTATAAGGTAGTATTTCATATTTACATAGACTGCTAGCCTAATACTTTAATACCCAATTACCATGATTACACTTTTTTACCAGGAGAAAGAAAAGTTTTTTCGTGAGATATGGACGAGCTTGGAAACAAAGGATGCTTCTCTGCAAAGGCATATTGACAGGGAAAGGATGTTTGCTGTTGGATTCCATGAAAACGAATGCATTGAAAAAATCAAGCTGTCAGTTGTTGATGTTGTCAAAAATCTTGATCACTGGGGAGAGAAACTTCCATACTCCTGGGCAATGTTTGAAAAATTCTTCCAAGAAAAAAAAACCCTTAAAATCGTCGACAAAGAGACACTTTTGGCTTTCAATAAAGCATTGCCACAAGAATTGAAGTTGGGAACACAAGAAGATATTAACACCATGCTGCAGTTTTTCCATGACATCAGAGAAATTTTACACTTTGACCAAGAACCCCTCGGAGGAATCATAATTCTTGATGCTCAATGGTTTGCAGATGCATTCAAAAATGTCATTACAGATAAAAATCATGCAGCAGAGGATTTATTTAAGCTTGCCTCACAATGGAACAAATTTAATGAAAGTGGAGAACTGAGTGACACACTATTGTCTGCGATATGGGAAATGAACAACAACGGGTACCTGGAACACAAAGAAGATATCATGCGCTACATGGAGAAGCTAGGACTCCTGGCTAAAATGGATGAAAAACATTGGTATGTACCCTGCATGAACAAGAAACCATTTCCTGCGGAATGCTTTACATCCTACCCTGCCTCATCCATCCTCTGCTATGTCTTTGATGCTCTTCCTGCTGGAATCTTCCAGCGCCTAGTAGCTATTTGCATTCAAATACCATGGGAACTTAATTCAAGTCATGATGAACTATGCCTTTACCAGACAGTAGCTGTGTTTCATTCTGAGAACCATAACATTCTGATTGGTATGACACCAACAGAAATTCAGTTACAAGTGTTTGTAATTGAAGAAGAGGTCGATAAATCAACATGTCAACAAATAAAGAGGAAAATTGATGATATATTGAAAATTCTTTCTGAAACATTCCATGCAGACTCCAAATTTACTATTGCATTCAAATGCCAAGCCACAGGATTTTGTGATAGCCAAGAAAGTTCTGTGATCCTCCAATCAGAATTTATAAAACCTACCTTCCAGTGTCCTTCCTGTCCAATTGGGAGAAAGCATAACATCAAATCAAAAGATATCACCAAATATTGGATACAGGTATTCAATTTTAAATTTTGTAAATATACAACATTATTGTGCAACATATAGTTATACTTCAAATCATAATTCAAATAATGAGTTTTAGGGGAAGTGATAACATTGTAATTGTTATTCATTTTAGTTAAAATAAGTGT